CAGCAATAAATAGTTTGCAAGTATGAAATTATAAGCTGTAGTGTCCTGATGAACTAACTCCCTCCTGGTTCTGCAGTGTGCTGTCCAGGTTCTGAGTCATCTCTTTGTCCAGGGTGTCCATGGCATGGACATTATTCACACTGGTCACTCAGTCATCTCCGTCTTCAGATGAGCTGCGGTATGCCGGGGCTGGCGTTCAAAAGATGCATATTGTAATTAATGATGGCTCTAAAGAGCAAGATAATGGCAACTATTTAGACAAGCCAAAAAAGAAGCTATTAAGTGGTTCAAGTTAAATGGCAAAATGATGGGGATGTCCTTCTGTATATGCTTCTCTTATTGGTTGGTGAATAAAACAGTTTGGCCAATAGAGGCAGGAAGACAGGTGGGGCTAGGAGACAAGGAGAATTCTGGGAAAGTAGGCAGAGGGAGACCGGAAGGAGATGCCATGGAGGGACCGGGAAGATAGGCCACACCAGGCATTCTCTGGTAAGATAAGGTCATGTATAAATACATAGATTAGTAGGTATGGGTTAATAATTAAGACAGAGCTAGCTGTAAGAAACCCTAACCTTCAGCCAACAGTTTTATGATTAATATAGCATCCGTGTGTTTATTTGGGGCTATGAAGGACAGTGGGGTCAGGCGGAGAAGAAAACTGCCTGCAACAGCAAAAGGCATTGACTTATTATAAAAAAGATTAATATATGAAAAGATTAATGGGAACAAACCCTCTATCTGGTTTTTAAAATTTAGTTTTGTTATTTTTAAAAGTATGTGTGTGTGTGTAGGGGTGCTGTCAGTTCCCCTGAAGCTGGAGTTAAAGCAGTTGTAAGCTGCCCAGTGTGGGTGCTGGGAATCAAACTCGGGTTCTCTGGGAGAAGAGTCCATACCCTTACTGTAGCATGAATTCTAATTAGTATTAACAGTAAAAACCCAGCGGCAGATATTGGGGTTAAAGCTGAAGATCAGAGAAACAAAGCGGCAGCCACTAGAGAGTTCTCACCCCTCCCAATGTTCAGACAGAAGGACCATCCTGTCGTTAGACTGCACCTCCAGACTACACTGCTCTCCACCAAACCTCAGACTGCTCTTGAGACTGCACCAAGCTCCTTACATTCTCTCTAGTGCTGGGATTAAAGGCCTGGGATCCCAAGTGCTGGGGTCAAAGGTGTGAGCTCTGTTTCTCTTTTAGACGGATTCACTCTTGAGTAGCCTCGAGTGGCCTTGAACTCATAGAGATCCATCTGCCTTTGTCTCCCGAGTGCTGGGATTAAAGGTGTGTGCCACCACTTTGTGGCCAACTAGCATGACTAGCTTTGCACTCTGATCTTCATGCAAGCTTTATTTGTAAGGTCATAAACAAAATATCACCACACCTTACCCACTGAGTTATCTCTCCAGAGCTATCTGTATAGCTTTCAGGAAAGAAGAAGATCTCAAACTTCAAAATTCCAGTCACCATGTTTAAGCATAATGCATAGCTGAGATAGAAAAGGCATTGTATTTGTGCATGTGTAGGGAAAAAAAATCACAGTATGTATAGGGCTTGCATTATCTGTGTTTCGGATGCAGGGGATGACTGTAATGAGGTGTGGGGAAAGAGGAAGGAGGTTAGAACCAATTGCATGTGCCTACTTAATAATTGGGTTTCTTCTGGTCTCTGCAGTTAACTCCATTACACAGAAAACTGAATAATTTCAATTACTTTGAATACAAAAATTATTTGCTATGCATAAATGAAAGTCAATGCCAGTAACTCAGGCTGATTTGCCAATAAATGAAAGATTCATTCTAGGGAAGAACAAACTATTAAAAGGAGCCTAAAAATAAGCTTTCTGTTCCTGAGAATAAATAAACTACCGAGCAATTAAAATATTGTCTTACAGACACATTCGGATATGATATTAAAATGCATTTTAACATGCCAAAACTAAGGATAAGGTGTGTTTGTGGCTCAGTTTCTTCCATATTCAGTTACTGTTATTATCACTAGATTATCTCTTAAAAGAAATAGTTTTGTGAGTTAATATCATCAGTGGTAGGGCCTGGTGTAGTGGTGCATGCCTGCAATCCCAGTACTTAGATTGTAGAGGAAGGAAGAACAGAGTCATATTCTTATTTTGTAGATCAGGCTGCCCTGAAAGTTGGTATGTAGACAAGGCTGCCCAGGAACTCACAGAGATCTCTGTCTCTGCCTCTAGAGTGTTGGGCTGAAGCCCAACACCTGGCTTCAGAGTTATTCTTGCCTCCATGTTGACTTCCAAGCAAGCTAGGGTTACGTGAAACCCTGTTACAAAAAACTGAGTGTTTATATACTTTGGTTTGATGAATTTCACATTTTTTTTATTAGTTAGAGGCTTAGTAAGTGATACAATTTGTTCATGTTGACATCTCATGTTTAAATTGTTAAATCCAAGGTTACAAATGAGCTCAGGTCTGCAGCTGAAGAGGTTAATGGGTAGAAAAACAGTTCAAAGAGAGGAGGTTTTTTTTTTGTTTGTTGTTGTTGTTTTTTGTTATTGTTATTGTTATTTTTTGAGACAGGGTTGCTCTATGGAGTCCTGACTGTCCTGGAAATGGCTGTGTAGACCAGGTTGGCCTGAAACTCACTGAGATCCACCTGCCCCTGCCTCCAGAGTGCTGGGACTAAAGGAGTGCGCCACCACGACTGGCAGGAGTTATTTATGATCAATAATTTGTTTTGCCATAAGGTTATAAAACTGATGTATTAATCTTTGCATACACACCGAGTTAAACATAATTTAGTCATTAAAAAAATCCAGTTCAACACTTTGCAAACCTAAGGAGAGAAATCCTATGTGCTTCAGCAGGGCCAAGTCTGTGAGTGGTGCATATTTCTCAGCAAGGCAAGCTGTTCTTGGCCTGTCAATGTTGTGTTTGGGGAGATACAGCTCCGCACTGACAAGTCCCTGCTCCTCAGCAACTTGAGAAGTTTCCAAATTTTAGGGACCTTGACTCAGACAGACCCAGATTCATAGCTTTGACGTTCAAAAGAATTCCAGGATGGAACAGTTATGAAGAGAGTGGAGGTTTGTCAGTGCTATTGTGATAAAGTCTTAGCACTGGGTCAGGATAAAGTGTTCAGATCGGCAGCATGCTGAGAGCTAGGCATGGGCTGCTGGGAGGCAGTGGACTGTTCCAGGCAACGGTCATATATGAAGTTTTGGTAGAGTTTGAAGTTAGTATCTCATACTGGGTGGTTCCCGGGGGCACGTGGTGGCGTTACAGTTCATGGGGAAACACTTCACCCACAGGGATGTTGGATGTTTTTACTGTGAGCGATGTCTCTGGCGATGTCTGGGGAAGGAAATGAGAGCCTGTCCAAGGTTGTATCTACTCAGGCCTTGAGTTTGGGTTCTCCCTACTTTAACATAGAATATACATGTGTGTGTTGGAGTTCTTGGTCTCACCTGGTGACAGGCTATTGTTGTTATTATTATTTTAAGTTCCATTGTGTAGCCCTGGCTGGCCTGGAACTCACTTTGCAGCCAGGCTGGCCTCAAACTATAGAGACCTGCCTGCCCCTGCTGCCTAAGGACTGGTGTTAATGCTCTGGGGTGAGGGATTCTTTTTCCTCTTGCATCCCTCGGGATGGCCACAATTGTGTTTTGACTTCATAGCCCAAACTTCTTTTCCACTTCCAAGCTTAAAGCGAGCCTTAAAATGTAGCAGAATGTTTGTACTTGCACGGAACTTTCTCTTTTGAACGGCGGCGTCACACACCATTATCCTTTACTATCCACAGCGGTGTCGCCTTGGTCCACACAGGGCAACGCCCACCCAGCTCAGGCCACCGCCGAATCTAGGTGGGATCGTTGCGAGGTTCGAGAGTCGCAGCTCAGCTGATTCCGGCTTCTGGGACCAGTGGCCAAGAGCAGAGCGTGCCAGCTCTCAGGCTGCAAGCGGTGCCAGGCTCCTTCCTGGGGGAGGAAATGCAGCAAGGTGGTTTCACAGGCAGCAGCTGTTAATGAGGGCGTCAGAACAGATCCCCAAACCTTCTCACTGAGCGTGACCTTTGGACAACGTTTGTGTGTGTGTGTTTTGTTTTGTTTTTATTTGGACAACATTTTGAGCCTCTCTCAGCTTGCTTTCTGAGGACTCGCCCATCAGACAACCTGCGTATCGGCTGTTTACGTTACGATCTGTAACAACAGCAAAGTTACAGTTACGAGGCAGCAGCAAAAATAATTCCCTGGTTGGGGCCCCCACGACGTGAGGGACTGGCTTTGACTGGTGGGTTGCGGCTGTGGGAATGTTGAGAACCACTGGCGTGCACTCTCCTTTATTCCATGGCGGGAAGGGGGATTACTGACAATCGAAAAGACGACCTGGCAGCTCCACTCCAAGCACCTAAACTTTGCAACACCCAGGAAAACTTCACCCGCAAAATGGGTGCGGCCATCACTTTGCAAACAAAACTACAGCCAATCCCCCTTCCCTGCTCTTTCCGGCACTCGTTTCCACGAGGTTGACTTGGAGCGGAGGACCAGAAGCGGGGAGGGGGCGGGAAGCGGGAGGGGTAGCGGAGTGCGAGGCGGGGCACAGGTTCCAGCCACAGCCGCAGCCGCAGCCGGGACTGCCGCCCGCGCGCGCCCAGCGCTGGCCGGGTCACCAGGGGAAGCAGGGGGCGTGCCTACGGGAGCCGGGGGCGTGGCCAGCGGCTCGGGGGCGGGCCCTAGGGTGCCGGGGGCGGGGCCACGGGCGGGGCCCAGCCGAGGCTGAGCGCTGCGCGCGCCACGTCTCCCTCGGCGAGCGAGCGTGCGGAGGAGCCGGCCGGGGAGGGACCCGGCGCGCGGGGCGGGGCCTAGCTCCTCTCGCGAGAGTTGGCGACGGCGGCGGCGACGGCGGCGGCGTGTCCGTGAGAGCGGCGTGGGGGCGGGGAGGAGCGGCGGCGGCGGCGGCGTCCGAGCTGCGCCACACGGGGCCGGGGCGCCGGGAGCCGGAGCGCAGCGCGGGGTCGCGGCGGCGGCGGCGGCGGCGGGAGAGGCGGCGGCGGCGGCGGCGGGGGAGGCGGAGCCATGGCGGGCCAGCAGTTCCAGTACGATGACAGCGGCAACACCTTCTTCTACTTCCTCACCTCCTTCGTGGGGCTCATCGTGATCCCCGCCACCTACTACCTCTGGCCGCGGGACCAGAACGCGGGTGAGTCCGCCGGCGGCACGCCCCGCCCGGTGACGCCGCCCGCGCGGCCCGGCCTGAGGGCCCGAGCTGGGCGGCGATTTCCGGGCCCGCCCGGTCCGCGGGAGTCCGCGGGCTTGCACCCGCCCCGAGTGGTCGTGCAAGTCCCGCGCCCGCTGCCCCTTTGTCTTCCCCGCCTCCGCCCGTGCTGGCTGCTGGCTCTGGGGCCAGCGGCATGGGCCGGGGTGCGTGGGGATGGGGGCGCGCGGGCCCGTTACAGATGCTTGGGGCTCGTTTGGGACTTGCAAGCGAGCTCACCAGCCGCCCGCCCACCCCTGTCACTCCCCCGGCGCTCACACACATGCACACACACTCACACATGCACACACACTCAGACACACTCACTCACACAGACGCACTCATGCACACACGGACTCACACATGCACTCACACATGCACATGCACACACACGCACAAACACATGCACTCACACAGGCACATGCACACACACGCACACATGCACTCACACTCACACAGACACTCACGCACACATGCACTCACACAGACACACTCACGCACACACAGACTCACACATGCACTCACACACGCACATGCACACACACACACACACACACACACACACACACACACACACACGCACCGTTTCCCTTTTCATTTGTTCGCTCCCGTCGTGGGGGCTGAAAGCGCTGCCCTCGATCCCTTTTATAAAAAGCGAGAATGGGTTTCTCTCCGCTTCCTTTCTCTTTTTCCTCTGTGGAGTTTCCTGTTTACACACTGGAAAGTGCAAGGATGAGGGATTAGTACAGCGCGGTTCTTCGCGAGGAGGAGGCAGTTGTGGGCCGCTCGCTCTTTGGCTTCGCATTTCGACGTTTTGGTCCACGGGATGTTAGGTGCACTGTAATGCACTTTGCTAAGACATATGGCGGGTGATGTTCTTAAAGCTGATGGCACCTAACTGCAAGTGCCTTGCATTTCTGTTGGAGGTAACCGTAATTAGTAGGTTTTGGGTATAACAGCAGCGTTGAGGGAAAAGCTGTCTGTGTTAAGTTGCTTTTAGGTTGGGTGTGGTGATGATCTAGGTTGTCTAGTGTGTTTGTACCTTGGGAAAAATTGTTACCAGTGAATCTCAGAACTTGTTACACTTTGATGAGAGAATTCAGTGTCCTATAAAATTATTTACTTACGCAATAGAACCAAAGTCAGTTTAGGATAAAGAGCAAGCAAGGATTGTATCTCTTCTGTACATTTCACAATAAGTTTGCAAATCCACTACATGCAACAATTTACCCAAAGTTATCCTGGTTTCGCTTTCAGGACTGGTTTATAAAATTGCATTTAGTGTTGTCATTTTGTGTTATGTGTTTCTAAGTGCATTGAGATAGTGTGGGGTTTTGGACAGTGGTGTACATGCTTTTGCTGTTCTTATACATATGTGTTTTGGCACACCTAAGGCGTTCTTTCAGTATTTCAAGTTGAAGGGATCCATGCCCAGTGTGGTGGTTCACTAATACTGTCCAAGGCCTTTGAGATGTGAATGCAAGATGACTCAGAGTTCAAGGCCACTGGCACTGGTGACGTAGTGAGTTCAAAGCTAGCCTGGCAACATGAGGCCTTTCCTCAAGAATAGGCCAGCAAGATGGTCCAGCCGGTGAAGGCCCTCGGCCCAAAGCCTGACAACTTGATTCTGGCCCCTGGAGAACCAAAGGATGAAAGGGAAAAACTAACTTTTGAGACTAGTCCTCTTGACTTCCACAGGAGGGGTGTGTGTAGGCGCCCACCCCCACACCGTGACTTAACAAAAAGAAACAGAAACCACAAAGAGGAGGTATACTTTTCAGTATTGTGGTTGGTTGTGTAGAGGACAAAGGGTTGAGACAGTAGGTAGATTGGTTGATTATCAGGAGCTGCTCTGATTCAAAGACTCATACTTATGGAAACCAAGACTACATGTGTTTCTGAAAGTTGGAAGTGATTGTCTATGGTAATTTTGGCCTACAGATTTGTTTGGTAACATATCCTACAAAACATACTTGTGCCCCTTTCCGTTTTGGAAAAGTGCTATTAGTATAAATGGAAGGATTAATTTTGACTGGATGAATCTTGACCTTGCAATAATGTTAGTGTTAAAAATCTTGGTTAAAATGTGTGGAGGAACTTGGTATGGTGCTGGATGCCTTTAATCTCAGTACTGGGGGAGACACTGGCAGGCATAACTCTGAGAGGCAGAGGCCAGCTAGGATTACACAGTGAAGGACCTTGTCTCAAACATAACCAAAACAATGCAGTGAGTGTCATTGTCCTGGAGGTTGGGAAAGTTTCTCGTGTGGCCAGAATGCCTCAAAACACTGTTAGCTTCAAAGCCGTTTGTTTCCTATTGTTAGATTAAAAAGGCGCTGAACTCTGTTGTCACTTTGTTTCTTCTTTACGTCTGGCTCTCTGCTTCAGGTTTGCCTCAGTAAATATACACCTGTTGATGTATTTGTTTGGTCCCAGATTCACTGTGGAAATGAAGGATGCTTCAGTGCTCTTATAGTCAGTAAGAGACTTGCTCCTGGATTTACTGTTACTTTGCTTCTTTAGAATCGTGGTGATAGTAAATGGACACTTTCATTATTATGACTACCCTCCCTCCAGTCCAGTTGCAAGGTCATGAATATCATCCAAAGACCCTGAAAATGAAAGTTTTTCAAATGTTTTTGTAGCAAAATAAGTTGCTTATTTGTTGTTTCCTGGCTGTTTTTATAGCTTTTGCCTGATCAGTCTTGTTTTCCTTTTGGAATATTAATTTTTTGGCTATTAGTAATGTGTTTTTTTAATTACATTTTTATTTATTTTGCGTGTATGTTTGTAGGCAGAGGAGGACTTCTGAGAGTCAGTTCTCCCCTACCCTGTGTGTTCTGAGGATTGAACTAAGATTATGAGGGACGGCTGCAGCATCTTTACCTCCTGAAGCTGTCTGCCTCATCTTCCCTTCTTCATAATGTTGTTGTTTGTTTTTCCAGATGATTTCTCTGTGTAGTCTTGGCTGTGTTGGAACTCACTCTTTAGACCAGGTTGGCTTTGGAGTCTCAGAGATCCACCTGCTCCTGTCTCTGCTGAGACTAAAGGTGTGTGTGTCATCATTGCCTGGCTCCATGTTAATTTTTTAAAAATTTAAAGTGTACATGTGGGCCTCTCAGTTTCACAGTTCACAGTTGTCCCTGCTAGGCGTCCTTGGAGTTAATGAGCTCTTGAGTATATTGTACAATGTAGTGCCATTTCAGATCGTGAAATTTAGGGTTTGGGAAAATAGAAATAGTTTAGTCTTTGCCATATTTGATATGCTAATTGACTTTCTAAACAGTATTAGTGGAATCTTTTGTCCTGATTTTAATCTTTCGTGTTGGGCTAAGTATATTTAATTCATACCCCTTTTAGTAGTAAAAGGTCTTCTTGGCTCTTTGAAAATTGGCTGAATAAAATGGATCTATATGAAAAAGTAATGACATGGATGGTTTAGATTTCCTGTAACAGTGGTTCTCAACAGAGGCTACAAGTAAAAGTACTCAGAGCTTATAAACACAGATGTCCCTAGAGACTCTAATCTGAGTGAGGCTACATATTGATATCTTATAACAAAAGGTCTAAGTTATAGGTAAGTTTGAGAGGGCTACTTAGAGAACCTTCTAGGAATGGCTTTAGTTGGAGTTATTTTTGGTGGTAGTATATTTGTTTTGGTTTGTGCTTTTTGCTAAAAAGACCCCCCCCCAACACCAAATAAACCCAAAACAAAACAAAGCAACAACAACAACAACAAAACCCAGATAGAGAACCAGAAGTTAGGACCAGAGAGTTGGCACAGTGGGTAAACACACTTTCCTTATAAACTATAAACTTGACCTCCTGAGTTTGATCCTGTACCCACCCCATTGGGAGAAAAGACTGGAAACTTGTTCTCATGTATACAACCATTAAAAAAAAAAAAGTGTCCTAGCATTTTTTACTTAGAATCATTTCTGAAACAGGCCTTAACAAAAGTTCTTGGAATTGGAAGTAAAAATTTTTGTCAAGACAACTCAAATTTTGTTTTTACTTTATGTGTATGAGTGTTTTGCCTGTGTGTCTGTAGGTTTACCATATGAGTGCCTGGTGCTTGAGGTCAGAAGATGGCCGCGGGCTCCCTGGAAGTCAATCAAGATCTAGAGTTGTATGGTTGCGAGCTGCTGTGTGGGTTCTGGGACTTGGGTGCACAGCCCGCTCTGTTCTTTCTGCTTTAGCTTTTTATTTTTAATTAAAAAAATTGTCCTCCCCATTGCTGTGAATCAAAGGCATGTGCCACCATCCATGTCCAGCCCATTTATTTATATTTTTAAATGTGTGTGTGTTGTGGGGGGAGGGTAGTATGTATGTGTGAGTGTGAGTTTGTGTGGAATTCAGAAGGTTTCAGATCCCCCTAGAGCAGGAGTTACCAGGCAGTGGTGAGCTGGCCCATCTGGGTGATAGGCACCAAACACAGGTCCCCGGGAAGCACACGCATGTGCTGGGTGATGGGCACCAAACACAGGTCCCCGGGAAGCACACGCATGCTCTGGGTGATGGGCACCAAACACAGGTCCCCGGGAAGCACACGCATGCGCTGGGTGATGGGCACCAAACACAGGTCCCCGGGAAGCACATGCATGCTCTGGGTGATGGGCACCAAACACAGGTCTCCGGGAAGCACACGCATGCTCTGGGTGATGGGCACCAAACACAGGTCCCCGGGAAGAGCATGCTATTAATGGCTGTGCCATCTTTTCAAACCCAGTGTTTGTTGAGTTTTTGATTCCTTGACCTTTTTCAAAACTGCCTGACATTGAAATCTGGCTTAGCTGGTTCCCGTGCTTTTAATAGGCAGGTGGTCATCTGTAAAGTAGAGAAAGAGAAGTCTCTATAGAGTTAGGGTTAAGCTGGGATTTATGTCGAGTGTCCGGGAACAGTGTCTGACATGCACTATTAGCACACACTGTTTTGATTTGTTACTG